ATCTAAAATAGAGCACACAGTAAGAAAATACGGGTGGCATCACTAGTTTTTTTTTTTTTTTTTTTTTTTCTTCAACACATAGGAAGGAACAACATCTGGTTTATAGACGGAAGTAATAAATAAGAAAATGTATTTTCTTCTCATCTCCAACCTAATAGCCTGGCTTTGTTCTGCCTCTACCAACCAATTAGGGAAACAAAATACTCCTGTTTCACCAAATTCACACCATTAAATGAAATACTCATGTCTGTCACAAAATTAAAATAGAGCAGATATGAGGTATTCTCATAGGTAAAACTTTCTCTAGGAGGCCCCCCACTGCCTCAAACCCTTGGAGTAGCAGCTTCTGCATTTGTGCTCACAGATCTGAAATTGCTTTTCTGATGATCTTGAAATTATGAGCAACATTTTTTCTATTACACGTAAAATGTTTATCTCTTTTTGCAGAGTCTAATTGTCTTCTGGGCTCTCTTTTGTCTTGTAATTCTGTTGAACCTCCTCTGTCAGAGAATCTACATAACATTCATCCTGGGTGAGCTCATAAACTCTCTCCAACCCTGCCCCTTAGAGAACAACCAAAAAAAAAAAAAAAAATGAACAATAGCAGTGGCAGCAGCAGCAGCAAATCTCAATGATCTCTGGAAGCCTGAACAAGGAATAGTTCAGGGGAAAAAAAAAAAATAGAGACCTTAAGTGCTTCTGAGGTATTAACATAGTTGTGAAATTTGTGAGGAATGTGGGAGGAAAAAGTCTTTTTATTATTTGCTAGTTTCACAGGCTCTAATTCCTCATGTCCCTAGTTGAGCTTTAACTTAATTACAAAACGAAATCTATAGCCACAGCCCAGGCCTAGAGGTAGAGTCTGTACAACTAATCAGCTTTAATTCCCTGGACCCGATTTAATTACAAAACAACATTTGGTGCAGCTGTTAACCACTTACCAGTGACCACATGATAATATTGGAGTAGGTCTCCAGCTTTTGTTCTTATTTTATTGGCACAATGATGTCTCAGTTATATATAAATTTGAGTGGGACTGATAATAAAAAAAGTTGCTAGATGTCATACACCCCTATGGTTTAAGCCAAAGTCTTAAGTTGCACTACAGCTAATTAATGTCAAGAGGTAAATTTTAATGAAAGATGTTTTAGTCCATTCTTTGTTGATTAATAACTGGACACAAGATTCTGCGTGATTTATAAAGGATAGAAGTTTGGGGACCAGCAGACGGCATAATGGTTATGTTGCTGGATTCCCATGTAGTCAGCCACGGTTCAAGTCCTGGACCCAGTGGGTTTAAACTCATACTGGGTGCATGTGCACATGTGCCCAAGGCCCCAAGAGGAGAATAGAGAAGGGATTGCAGCATTGCCATTTGCCCTGGGGAGTGATTTCTCACTTTCTATATGTTTCTCTAGCAAGTACACATGCTCTATTACAAAAATCTCTCTTAAAAAAAAAGTTTCTTTAGTTCATGATGTAGGGGGTCCAGATCAAGAGCATGTATCAGGTAAGGGTCTTGTTACTGGGAAGACTGCAGAGCCCTGAGGCAGCACAGGGCATCACAGGGCATCACAAGCCAATTCTTATGGCTACATCTGAGTATGTTTGTTGGTCAGCTCTGGTTTCTCTCATTCTTATAAAGCCACCAGGATTCAGTCATGGGGCCGCACCCTAATGACTTTATCTAATCCTAATCACCTGTCAAAGGCTCCGCCCTCAATACCATAATTAAATTAAGTTTCCACCCTCTCAACACCACTATAATGGATCACCACATTTTCACAATGAAATTTTGGGAGGGCACATTCAAACTATAACAGAAGAGATATCCTGGTAAAAGGCAGTAAGAAATTGAACATCAGTGGCAAGTTCTTACCCCTTTAAATTTATTCTGTCTGTCAGGTGGACAAAGTGAAACCAGCCAATGTATATTGTGAGTTACCAAATTGCTCTTTAGGTTATACCACACATTGCTTTCCAATACTACATATGTCTAACCCATAGATCTGCTTGTTTTTGTTTTTTTTTAATGTTTTACAAAACAATTTAGGAGGTGACTAATTATGTTACAAAGAAATTTTTACATGATAAAGTTAAAATAAGCCACAGCTGACTCCTCCAGTCTACATAAAACATACTCAGTCGTCATAAATATCTAGGTTGAGTGTTGCAGTAAGTACACTGGATTTGCTCTTTCACTGGATAACACTGAGGCAAAAATCCCATGCACATCTGGCTTTTCATTTTAGCTTTTTGTTTCACTTCAATACCTTTTACAGTACCTAGGATCCTAATTCCGCTCTAGGTATGCAGAAGGGCAAAAAAAAAATTTTAACTGAGAAAAAAATAACTCAAGAAGCAGAAATGTAAGGGAATTAAATCTGGCCCTTACTGTTTTTACAGTAATTCAGAAGATAATATAAAGTTCTATCCAATATAAAAGAAGCAGAATGTAACCTTTTTGCTTCTTTCCTGAATACCAATATGCAAGTATTACTTTCTCTGTCTTTCCCTTTAGAACAGGGAAAAGCTAAATGCAGAATATATCAGAGCTGATTATACCTTCAAAGAAAAAAATTGGAATACATAAAATTTATTACAATATAAGAAATCTAAATAATAATCCTCTTCTTCAAATTTCCCCCTCAAGTGTTGGTTCAAGCTTTACCTAATGCCATCCTGTCTGGCCACCTTAGACTTTGGACAAAGATAACACTGAACGTTTCAAAACTGAAAGGCTAATTTCTCTGTAATAGCAGTGTCTGTCAGACTCCCACCCCAGAGAGTATCTTCTTTACTACTGAACAATGACTGAGTCACAGGAGGAAACAATTCTGCTTGCTAGAAGAAAATGGGATGGAAGAAATTATGACAGTTACCAGATGTTCCACTACCCCTCAGGGGGCACCAGAATGTTTCTGCATATGCTGTAAACAGCACAAACTGTCAAACCATGGGGCCCTGGGGCTCAGAGCTCATGCTTCTCTGATGTGCAGAGTCATAGGATTCAAGAGTTAGAAGGAACCTTAGAAATGATCTCGTCCAGAGGTTTTAAACTGTGTTGGGAGGTGTGTGGGGTGTTCTGTGGTCCCTAAGTGAGACTCAGGGATCACAAAAGGACAAGAAGTTTTCCCCAGAACAGAATACTCTTGGGAAGAATGTAAAAATCTTATGTAAGAACTAATATCAAGACAATTTTTTTCTTACTATTTTTGGTATACAGTATGTACATTTGAGAGAGAGGGGGAGAGAGAGGGAGAGAGAGAGAGAGAGAAAGAAAGAGAGAGAGAGAGAATGCTCACAGTGCAGATGGTTTTCCATTTGGAGAAATGGAAATACTTCTTCAGGGTTTTGGGCATACATGTACATCAGCCTGGCATGGTTCTCAAGTTGCTGGGTCCAGGACTGAAGCCAAGCAATTGGCCATGTGGGATCCAGTTGACTTAAGCATCAAGCCATGGAGCTGGCCCAGGACAAAATATCTTATCAAGCAAAAATTAGTTGTGAAAATCTAAGATAATTCCTGTGGCTAGGGTAAAGAATTCTGTGGAAAACCACCACCCAGGGACTATATGACATCCATATAGGAAAGGCCCTAAAACTAGGAGAAAGTTGGTTTAGGAGCTCTAGACTGTGATAGTCTTGGGAGCTTAGAAATTAAATTATGTCTCTAAGACACCATATCAGGAAGGAAAATAAAAGACTTCTGGAGTCAAGTCAGCAAATCTTTACAATCTTTTTAAATTTACATTTCATTTTATATAGCAAATAAAAAATCACTTAGAAAAATGTTACCTTTCCCAAATTTATAAATTTGGCAACTTACTATATTCTTGGGCTAATCATGATTTAATTCTTATTCTTTTCTTTGGGGGGGGGATTTTTTTCTTACTATTTTTGGTATACAGTATGTACATTTGAGAGAGAGGGGGAGAGAGAGGGAGAGAGAGAGAGAGAGAAAGAAAGAGAGAGAGAGAGAATGTTCCCGCTGCAATCACTTTTCCATTTGGAGAAATGGAAATACTTCTTCAGGGTTTTGGGCATACATGTACATCAGCCTGGCATGGTTCTCAAGTTGCTGGGTCCAGGACTGAAGCCAAGCAATTGGCCATGTGGGATCCAGTTGACTTAAGCATCAAGCCATGGAGCTGGCCCAGGACAAAATATCTTATCAAGCAAAAATTAGTTGTGAAAATCTAAGATAATTCCTGTGGCTAGGGTAAAGAATTCTGTGGAAAACCACCACCCAGGGACTATATGACATCCATATAGGAAAGGCCCTAAAACTAGGAGAAAGTTGGTTTAGGAGCTCTAGACTGTGATAGTCTTGGGAGCTTAGAAATTAAATTATGTCTCTAAGACACCATATCAGGAAGGAAAATAAAAGACTTCTGGAGTCAAGTCAGCAAATCTTTACAATCTTTTTAAATTTACATTTCATTTTATATAGCAAATAAAAAATCACTTAGAAAAATGTTACCTTTCCCAAATTTATAAATTTGGCAACTTACTATATTCTTGGGCTAATCATGATTTAATTCTTATTCTTTTCTTTGGGGGGGGGAGTGATGGCATGTCACAATCTCCTCTCCATCTCTCTCATTTCAGGATTTGGGGCACACACCCATATACATGTACCTAGTGTGTTTCTCAAGCTGTGGGTACGGGATGGCAACTGTGTAGTCAGTCATGCAGGATCCAGCTACCTTAACCACCATACCACTGGATAGCACAATTTAATTTGTATTCTATGTCACCTGTTCTAGTCTCAAGTTTAAAAATACTCCATGAATGTTCATAGAATCTGTGCAATGGTACCATCAGAAAGACAGAGAATGAGAGAGAGGGGAAGAGAACAAGAGGGAGCAAGCTATTTCTGTTTGTAAATGGAAGACAAATTATGAAAGAAGTCACAAAATGTTAATTTATAGGAAAAGCATATCTCCAGTGAAAGTATAGAGACATTCATAGAAGTGTGATGGATCCATCTGTCTCACCATCGCTGTTGATGCACACAACCTCTTGGACTTGAGTGCCTGGACCACATTCCTTCTCATTGTCTGGTTCACAGTCTCCAAGTCTCACTGCTTTCCATTCATAGCAGGATGGCTCTTCACAGGGAATGGCTTCCAGTAAGTGAGGGCAGTTTCCAGTCCCTCCAGAACCTCCAGTGGGCTCATTGGTAATGCGCCTCTTCCTCAGTTTGAAGCCTGAATTATTGGGGAAAGAAAATTTTCATTGTTACCATCACAGGTTGGGCATTTCAGAAAGCTGAATACAGCTCTCACTGAAAGCTGGATAAGAGGCAGAAGTAGAAGTCGTGTCTGTTTTGAAGCACTGGTATATCTCAATTTGATTATAGCTCATTATTTATTAAATGAATGAATGAATAAATGAACAAACATAATGGAAAAAGAGGGACTTTGGTTTTAGCTTACTGTGTAAAGATAAGGCCAGAAGTGCCTTACAGCTCTCATTTTTCCCCAAGGTGGTAGAGGGGGAAAGGGACAGAAAAGGGGTTGATAAGAGATAGGAGAGAGGGGGAGAGAGAGATTTTAGTTGATTAGGAAAGTTTATAGCTATAGAATATTCAAAGAAACAATAATATCTCATGTTATTTAGAAATATTCATGACCAGATAAAAAATGCTACTATGTGAGAAATTGGATGTTTCCAGAGCAACTCTTTAAGCCTCATTGGATTTTTAGACTTTCTGGACACCTGAATTCAGAACCTAAACAATCAGAGCTTCAGTATGGAGTATTTGAAGTTCTGTTCTGTGCTTTAATAGCACCTAAGTATTGCCTGTCGTGAACAGTGTATAACAATATTAAGGGTTTGTTTATTGCTATGTGAACGTACTAGAATTATTGAATACTTTCCTTTGAAATGAAAAGGAAAAATATTTTCAGTTAGGAGATGATGTAAAATTTAGCCCATCATGAAGTAACGTACTCCTCTTTGGCATATCATTTACATCCTGAAGGCAATGAGGGTTTTTGTTTTCCTTTTAAAGTAATAAGGAGATCTGTTATTGGGCGCTAGCTATGGGTCAGGCACTGTATTAAGTCCTGTTTGTTTATCATCCTATTGATTCTTTAGAGACAACCTAGGTGGCAGATATTATTACATCCCTTTTACAGATAAGGAGACAAAGATTTAGATAACCTAATTAATTTATCTAAACACTAAGGCACAGAGTAGATTTTTTCCAGTCTATATCAGCTCATTGAACCACTATACTAAACTGCCTGATTTGATCTCTATCTGTCTTCCAAATTAACAATCATCTTGACTACATTCTTCAGTTTAAATCTTCTGGCATCATCAGTAGAGAAAGTTTATTCATCACTTGAAATCAATACTCTTTAGCCTTTCTGGAAAATATCACAAGCAAATCATCACAAGAATTACAAAACAGTCTTCTTAAATAATTCACTTGACTCAATTGCTGACTCAGTTGATGAGAGTTTCAGACATGTCATCTTAATATTACATACCTTTTTTACCTTGCTGGTCGTTACAGTTTTCATAAGTACAAGGTCCCCAAGCTGACCAAGGTGAAACTTCACATTCAATTGGACAAGGAATGTGGCACAGCTGTGTAGTGTTAGGGATAGGGCCAGTACATAATTTCAAGTCCACTGGTTTTGAGGCTGTTTGGAGAAAAATACAGAGATCCATTAAGAATTAAACAAACCAGGAAAAAAAAAAAAAAACTGTTTGGACCAACGGTTTAATATTTGTGTGTTTGGAGAAGGCAAATGCCTAAAGAAATGCTACCAAGACATCTTAATACTTTCTAGTTACAGCCTAAGGCTAAAAGGAGACGTGGGGAAGAAAGTAGATTAGTGTAGTTAAAGGAAACCAAATTATGAGTCTTGAAAACTGTTGAATTACCAGCTCTACTACTAATTAGCCATGCAATGAATTATGCTGAGTGTAATTTTTCTGTCAATAATACTTAAGGTTAATTTTATCTCTAAAGTTCTATAGTTATAGTCTAAGAAAGTAGAATATAGTGTAGTGCTTTAGAGGATTGGTACAGGAAAAGGGGGACTTTAGGTTTAATGTAAAGGGAAAAATGTTCACTGAGTGGCTTCTAGAGGTGGAATCACCTATCTTTTTTGGTCCACAGGTGTTGAGAGGTACCAGGTGGATATAATAATGGAAGATCTCAAGTGGAAGCTACTCTTTCCACTTCTAGCTGCATGACTCACCTAATGCTTTACAGAACTTTTAACAGAATATATTATTTGCATTTGTGACCTTAACCTAAGGACTGCTAAGGACACTAATTTAGAATTACCTGTCTTTTCTTCAGTTGACCTATAGATAAATTTTACTTGCCCTTGTTTCTCTTCTTTTCCATTTCGGATGCTTGCACTTTGGCTCTGTTACATGAACATTTATCTGGTATTTAACATCAAGGTATGTTCATAATTTTAGATATGGAACTTGTTAAAAATGACTAAATGAGAAAGATATTAATTGCAATATGGACAGCAGAAGAGAAGCCAGTTTAGTTGTATATCAGCTATCGATCATCTCTCTACTTAATGTCTATAGTTATGTTAGTTGTAAAAAAAATTAACAAGCAAAAGTCTTAGTCACACATTGCCTTATCTGTGTTTCACGCAGATAATCTGGAGAGTCCATGCTTGTAGAACAAAAGATGTAAATAACAGAGGGCTGGCTCATTCTCATTCTCAGTATGTGAAAGAAATACATATTTCAGCTGCATGGGATTGCATCTAGAAGCTCACACAGAAACCAGAATAGGTTATTTTCTACTATCATAACTTTTAAGTAAAGTACTGAATATGTCTATTTGTAGTTTAAACCTGAAAGCAAATCGTAAGTACTTATGGATCCTTTAAGTTTCTTCACTCAAGAGGACCTCTTACTGACAGTTTTTATCCTAAAAAATACTCTGCAGATTCTATTTTTCTCTTTTTCTGGCCAGTAGTAGTGCTTTCTCTCCACCCCACCCTATCACTCGCATGCAATGCAGTGACAATCAATGACTGGACACCTCTAACTTGCTAAGCAAGGAGCACAGTGAGCATTCTTACTCAGGCTTACCAGCATGGTGGCCAATGAACATAGTATCAGCTAAAGCCAAAACTTGTATTGCTTTCCACGAGCAGAAAGACATGGCATACTAATGACAGAAAATGCAGAAATAAATGCTCCATTTTCTCTAAATACAAAAAATAACTTGCCATCAATGATGTATCTTTCACACAAAATGAATTCTTATACTTACAGGCAGAAGAGCCTATACTATGAAGAAAAACCACTGTTAATTAATGTAATTACTTGCACTTGTAGAATATTTCAGACTATCATTCAAATTAGAAGTTGCATGTAATGGAGACTTTCAATTTGTTCCTTTGAATTGCTTAAAGTTCCTTTAAACCTTGGTGTTATTACATTGTTTTGGAAGCTAAATTTTCCTTTTATTAGATATCAAGAATAGGCTGTCCAGTTAAATTGCTATCAAAATGAAATTCTCTGCACTTACACTGAATATAATTGAAAGCACTTATATTGAATTTATTAAATCAATTATTTATTTTTTTCACAAGAGAGCAAGGGAGAATGCATGTACATGTGTGTGTGTCAAAGAAAGAGGAGCATTCCTAACAGTGTCAGGCTACACTGTTATTTATTTTTTTAAAGAATTATTTTATTTAACTTTATTTATTATTAATATCATTATTATTTTTCAGTTTGATCAGAGAGAGACAGAGAGAGAGAGGAGTGAGAAAGCAAACCACCAGGTCCGAGACTTGAACCATGGTTGGCCATGTGGGAGTCCAGCGCCTTTAACCACCATGCCACTTGCTGGCCCCTACACTGTTATTTTTCACCCAGCCCCACTGCTGGTCAAGATTGTGGATGTGCATATGCCCAGCATATCTCAGGTCAACTAGGGATCCAAATCCATGGTCATCCATGTGACTTCCAGCACTGCAGATCAGTATGCCACCCATTGTGCAATCAAGTTTAAGCCTACATTAATTATTTTAGTCCTCACAGCAATATCAGGAAGTAGGTGCAAAAGTAATCTCAAATTTAAAGATGAAACATGAGGCAAAGGGGCCAGCAGGCCTGCTGGAATGGTGGCTAAAGGTGATGGATTCCCACATGGCCGACTATGGTTCAAGTCCTGGACCTGGCAGCTTGCTTTCTCCTTTTTCTTCTCTTTCTCTTTCTCTCTCTCATCAAATCAAAAAAATAATAATAACAGGCCCAGCAGATGGCATAATGGCTATGTTGCTGGACTCCCATGTAGTTGACCGCAGTTCAAGTCCCAGACCCAGTGGCTTAAACTCACGCCAGGTGCGTGTGCGTGTGTGCCCAGGATCTCAGGAGGAGAGTGGAGGAGAAGGGATTGCAGCCTGGCCATCCCCCCAGAGGGTGATTTCTCACTTTCTGTCTCTCTGTCTCCATCTTTCTGGTGAGCGCACACGCCCTACAGCAAAAACCTCTCCAAAAAAATAATAACAACAACAGTGGAATTAAATAAATCATTTAAAAAATATATGAGGCAGAGATAAAGTAACTTGCCCAATGTATCATTTGCCCATTAGTAATAGTTGTGTTTTGCTTGTTTGTTTGTTTGTTTGTTTCTGGCCAGCGTGAAAAACATCCTGGCCAAGAAATCTTGACAGGATGGAGACATAGAAGAGGGGAGATTTGAGTGACCATATCCAATGGGGAGGGCTTTTTCCATCTCTCTCTGTCTCTCTAGCTTTCTTTCTCTTTCTTTCTCTCTCTCTGTCTCTCTAGCAAATAACAACAACAAAAAGTTAGATTCTCATCTATTTTTAATATCTAATTTTTAAAATGAAATCATTTTCATTTTAAAGCCCTGAAGTATATATACTACACATACATTTTAAATTTTTTAAAATCATGCAAACATTTTGATTTGGGGACCAGCATATAGTGTAATGGTTACATCACTGTACTCCCACATAGTAGACCACGGTTTGAGACATGGACCCAGTGGCTTAAACTCACACTGGGCACGTGTCTGTGCATGCCCAAGATCCCAAGAGGAGATTGGAGGGGAAGGGATTGCAGCGTGGCCACTCTCCATTGTGGGGTGCTTTCTCACTTTCTGTCTCTTTGTATCTCTTCATCTTTCCAGCGAGTGCACATACCCTATAGCAAAAACCTCTCTTCAAAACAAAACAAAAACTCCTTTGATTTCCTAAATATTTTGAATCCAAGATTTCATACTCTATGTACTTCTTATCTATTTGTCTAAAAAAAGTCTTCTCTGAACTCACTCAAAGGATATATTAGACTTAAAGGTTGAGAAGAACACAGTAAGTTTAATAATCCATTTATGCATTTTAAAGACAGCTGAGTATATTAGACACTTAAAAGCCTCTTGATACTGTATTTATTTTTCATCATCTTTGCCGAAAATCTGGCTTTTTCTTGAATTAGCATTTCCTTTCTTTAAATGAGCTTATTTTATTGGTAATTCACAATTGCGAGAAAATTTTCTTGGATTTAAACATTTATTTTTTTTAGAGGTTTTTACTATAGAGTGCGTGCGCTCACCAGACAGACATCGAGAGACAGAGAGACAGGGGGGATGGACACGCTGCAATCCCTTCTCCTCCATTCTCCTCTCGGGATCTTGGGCACACACGCACACGTGCCCGGTGTGAGTTTTAAGCCACCGGGTCCGGGATGCGAACCGCCGTCGACTACGTGGGAGTCCAGCGACATAGCCATTTCACTAACTGCTGATCCCACTGGATTTAAATCTTAATGACTGTTTTGAAACAAATCAGAGAAAATAAAATTAGTGACAAATGACTTTCATTTCTATTTTTTTTCAGTCAGTTAAAATAAAAAAATTTTGAGAGGTTTTTGCTATAGGGTGTGTGCTCGCCAGAAAGACAGAGACAGACAGAGAGACAGAAAGTGAGAAATCACCCCCCAGGGGGGATGGCCACACTGCAGTCCCCTCTCCTCCATTCTCCTCTTGGGATCTTGGGCACGCACATACACATGCCTGGTGTGAGTTTAAGCCACCGGGTTTGGGACTAGAACCACGGTCGACTAAATAGGGGTCTAGTGACATAGCCATTACACCAACTGCTGGTCCCAGTTAAAATAAATATTAAGGACTAATTCTTTACAAAGTCCTGCCATTGTATTAAGCTCAGTGAGAGGATTTCAAAAAGTTCGTGGAAAATTTAAATTAAAATATGAGGTTATTTTGGTGTAAAAAAATTTAAATCCATGTATACTTTTTACAAATTTATTTATTTATTTTTGGTAGAAGGTACTTGTTCTTACAAGACAGAAGGGCAGGAAAAGAGGGAGAAGAGGAAGCATCCCTCGTGGGGAATGGTCACTCTGCAATCACTTCTCAATGTTCCTCCATTTTGAGATTTGAACAAATAGGCGCACATGCCTGGTGTGATTCTCAAGCCTCCAGACCCAAGACACCACAGAATCAGCCATGTCGGATCAGGCTATTTTAACCATCAGGTCAAGGAGTCAGCCTGCATACTTTTCTTAGTATGCATTTTCCATGAACCTCTTGAAGATCTTAGTGATTTGAGTCCTGGACCCAACAACTTAAAAAACATAGTGTGTGTGTGTGTGTGTGTGTGTGTGT